TACTATGCCTTTCTGTTTACTGCTGTACTTAGTCCTCTTAAAAGCCCTCCAATGCCCACATGTTGCTGCTGGCCTAGTACAACTATTGAGAACATGGAGGCCTGAAAATGTGAGTGATGCACATGAAGGCATGGGGATTGGGATCCATGTGTGTAGGAGAAAGCCTGTATGCTGCCATTAACCATGTGACTTACTAGAGGCGCATACAGATGAGGTAATAAAAGAGCAGTTTACCACACCGCTAACCACACCCACTTTAGGCATGACTAAAGACGTATACAGACAGATGTAAAGACGTATACGTACGTAGGCAGTGAACTACGTCACTAGCCAGGCCCACTTTTGGGCATGGCTAGGGGGCATTACGGGGGAAGGCATAAAAGACAGCACACAGGAAGTCTTGGTCTCTTTTCCCGGAGTTCGGCTTCCGGTTCGGCAGCGGGAAAACTACTTGGCTCATCTGGGTTACTTGTTTGGTATCTTGTGAGTAATTTCTACAATAAATACTTAGTTTTACTTTCAGTAAGTGTGCCGTTTATGGTTACAGCATCACATGTGTAGGAACTTACGGTGCCTTTACGCCAACCTGGCATAGGACAGTGGCAAGAAAGAATTCATCTGTGGACAGATGGACTATACCTTTCACACCAGCGGTCTGTTTCAGAACAGCCTTGGGCTGGTGCTACCCTAGAACCCCAGGATCCTTCCTCCTGCCTCTCGGATTCCTCCTGGTGGGTACAGTTCTCAGGAAGGGTAGGAAGAGAGCGAGAGAAAGAGAGAGGAAGAACCAGTGTCCTACAGATTGGGAAACCAGGCAGAAGTTCTAGGACAATGTCAGGGTGTCAGGCCTAATCAGAAGAGACTGCATGAAGTTGCAGTTGCTGCGCTTAAATGCTCATCATGGCTTCCTTCCAGCTTCAGCCATTCTGGAGTTTCAGTCTTTGTCATGCCAGCCACTGATCTCAGTTTCCCATAAGCCTTATAAAAAAGGGCCAGGGCCACAATCCCTGAAGCAGTCTGTTCAGTTACCGTTGTACCTTAGCTACCGGCAGCCTTGTGACTGTAGTAACTACTTTTCCTGTTGTGCTGACCAAAGACTGGTGGAAAGTACTTTTGAAAGAAAATGCTTATTTTGACTGGTGGTTTCAGTGGGGGAGGGGCCAGCCCATCATTCCAGTGGAAGGTTATAGCAGCAGGACCAGCTAAGTTGGCTTCTGTGGGAATGTGTGCTAGAGTTCCTCACATGACAGTCAGGCCAGGAAGCAGGAAGCAGGAAGGTTAACCAAACCAGAACTGAGTAGTCTTCACAGGCCTGCCTGAAATGACTTCTCTCCACCTGCTGGACTCCATGTCTAAAGGGTCTGCAGATGTCCAAAACAATGGCCAAGCTGGCAACAAAGTGATCAAACACATAGCCCTGGGTGGAGTTGTCTAACGTTCACACTGTAACAGTAAGTTTGGGCAAGTCACTTACCTCCTTTCTTTTCTGAACAAAACAGGGCTGACAATGCAGAGTTGCTACAAGGAGGGAGGCAAGCATGTAAACTTGATAGATCATTCACAGGCACAAGGACCTCAGTTTCCTCTTCTACTGAGTGATGAGGAAGTCGTGTTGGGGTTTTGTAAAAATGAATAATAGTGCTGTAAAATATTTATAAGCGCACACAATAAATAATACAAAGTAATAAACCTCAATTATTATTTTCCCACCCATTTTATCATGATTTATCTGTCATCTGTCACTTGTTTATCTTCGACCATCTGTCCTGGTCACCCAAACCTTACCCTCTGCTACACTTTCCCCGTTTTCCCACTGGTGTCCCTTTTGTGGTCCAGGACGAGTGCTCCTGTGACTGTTGTGTCTCCTCAGTGTCCTCTGGCTGTGTCAAGTTCCATCTCCTGTGGTTTGGTGGTCTCAGAAGTTTGGGGGAGTGGAGTGGAGGATCCCTAGTTTGGAACCGAAATTGTCTGCTCTGTTCCTCATGACCACCCTAGGTGACCAGTTCCCGAGAAGGAAGGGCCACAGAGGAAGAAGCTTTCCCATCACAGATTCTCCTCATCTTTGACTGTCTTGGTTACTGCCACACCAAGCATTGTTTTTCCTCTTCTACTTCTGACCTCTTTTTCCCCTAGCTTCATCTGCTGCAGTAGCCAAAGTTAACAGCTTAGTTCGCACTTAGCAACAGGAAGTGCACATGCGTACAATTTACATTTGGGGGATGCCCTAGTTTGCATTCTATTGCTACGATAAACAACTTGAGAAAGAAAGGGTTTGTCTGGCTCACACTTCCACATCACGGTCCATCGTCGTTGAGGCAAGTCAGAACAGGAACTCAGAAAGGAACTGGAGGCAGGAACGGAAACAGAGACGCTGGAGAGCACTGGGTCCTAGCTTGCTTCTCATGACTTGCCCGGCTTGCTCTTGTACACAACCCAGCATCACCTGCCCAGGAGTGGCACTGCCCACAGCGTCCTGAGCCCTCCCTCATCAATGATTAATCAAGAAAATGTTCCCACAGACTTCCCTATAGGCTAGTCAAATGCAAGCATTTTCTCCATTGAGGCTCCCTCTTCCCAGATGACTCTGGCTTGAGAAAAACGTGTCCCAAGTTGACAAAAAACTAACAAGCTCAGGGGAGGAAGTCCCTGTGTCTGTATTATACTCTATACTTTGTATCAGATGCTCTCATTTAGCCGTAAGTGTGGACCTCCGTCTACAGACCAAGAGATAAAGTGCTGATTCTCTTGGACAGGCTTGAAAGTACAAGGTATGGATGAAGGTCTCACAGTCTTGTCCGTTCTCTGCTGCTTGGGAAGTCATGTTGTTTCTAGCTGTTCTTTCTTTCCCAAAAGCAATGTTTAAACATTTGGAATAAACACCTTTCTGAGAAACACTTGCATCCCTATAAGTATAAAATTGCAGAAGTGGTTTTTCTGTATGAGAAGGTATTTCCTTCTTAATTCCCCCCAAGCAGCTGTGAGAATTCATACCTACTCAGGCAGAGCTGAGAGCCACCCACCCCTATCCTCCACAGACTCACCAACACCGGGAGTTAGCCATCTTGTTAGTGTTTGCCCATCTCATGGATGGGCTATGGTACCTCCATGCTACCTTAATTTGCATTTTCCTGGTTACAAGCTGTGTGGAATATCTCTTCATATATTTATTGGCTCTTTAGATTTTCTCTTCTGCCCAGGACTAGTTCCACATTTTTCCCTATTGGGTTTGCCTTTTCACTGAGGATGTCCTGGAGCTCAGTGTTAGAAGAATGTTGACAGAATAGCTGACAAAGGCAATTTGAGGCATGAGAGGTTTATCTTGGCTCGAAGTTTTAGAGGTCACAGTTCAGCATGGCAGGAAGGATGTGGTGGCTGGAGCAGCTTAGACCATGGTGGTGGAACTACTGATCTGTGTAAATTTGCAGTGTGGCTTTATTCATATGCTGGAAGCTCAGGAAGCAAAGATGGGACCAGAAGGAGCTCCCAGATACCCACCTCCATCACCCATGCCTCATATCCTAAAGGTTCAACAACCCTCCCAAACAGCATCACCAGTTAGACCAAGTGTTCCAACACAGAAGCCCATGGGGAACACCACACTCGAGTCTTCACGCCTTCTGCTGTGCATAGTAAAATACACCTCCCCAGTGTATTTGCCTTTGACTCATAGTAGTATTGTTTTATAGTAATAGGCCTCAACTACATGGCACTAGCCAGCTAGGAATGTGTCATGTCACCCAGGCTGGCCTCAAACTGTTCCTTCTGCCTCAGCCTCCCATACACGACAGTGCCAGCATCTTTTTCTTAACGTCATTCCTATTCTCTCTTTTGTTCAAAAGCATCTCCCAACTTATAAACTATCCTTCTGATTTGCTTCTTCCCCTCTCTGTAACTATGTTATCTATTTAAGGTAGGCTCCAGTGCCACTTTTCTTTCATGGACATAGCTGAAATCTGTGCTGTATACAGATGTCTGATGTCAGAAGGCAGGGACTCTCGAGGTGTCTGGGATTCCAAAACTGGTCTGAGGAAATCTGTGAAGTGGGACAGTCTCTGCTCCCAGTGACGTAAGGGTTCCCCCTTTGTTGCTCTACAAAGCGAGCTTTAAGGAAAGCTTTGGTTGGCACACGGTACTCTGGACTTAAAGGAGTTCTGAAACCTTCTTTCAGATGAGCCCGAATCCTTCTAGAACTGACATTTTCTGACTTAAGAAGGGAGAGTTGGCAAGAGGGCGAGGTAGCGTCACCCTAGGAAAGGGTGTCAGAATCACAGTGTGTTAGCAGGGAAGGGGCCTTGGCGGCCTGGAGTTTATAAAGAGCTCTGGGGCTTGAACCTCTGCCACACCTCATGACTTGGAGTCCCTGGGGGTGCAGGAGCTAGGCACTGCTTTATTCTAAAATCTGGTGGCTCTAACAGGCAGCTAGGGTTGAGAGCTGCTCCATCTCCATCTCAACCCCCTCAGTAAAGAGCAAGTTGTCTCACTAGAGCAAATAGATGGAGGCCCACGACAGTGAAACACGAATACAGCTGGCCATCTAGAGTTACAGCTAGAACCCACACTTCCACATGCTCATTTCCAGTCCTGGTGACATCCCTGAACTTACAGAGGCGGAGTCCTCATGTCACAGGTGTCTAGACCTTGCTCTGCCTCGCAGGACTTCTAAGGAACAGGGTCATAAAGAACTAACTAGGATAAAAGGCAGCTCCGTGAACAGAGAATCACAGGTTGGGGCACCCTGCAGGGACACACGCTACATTACAAGAACAGGAAACTAGGGGTACTGAGCTCAGGGCCAGCCTTTCAATTTGTCCCATGAACGATTGAGAAGGCCTGGGTGGGCAGAAAACGCGTTCTGCACACTCAGAGCAGTGTTTGGTCGCCCGGGCATTATACTGGGGTAGCAGGCAGGGAAAGGGCAGCCAGGTTTGGTGGGGGAGATGCTTGAGGGGTCTTGGGAACTGGCTCAGCCTGCCTTACCTTCTCTCTCTCTTTGCTTGCAGGAATGAGACCGTGCTGCACCAATTCTGCTGCCCTGCCGCTGACACCGAGCAGAAGCCTGCCTGCTCTGACCTGGCTTCCCAAAGGTGCGATTCGGACCTTCCTCCCTCCCCTGCCGCCCTCCTTCCTCTCTGAACCCAGCTTCCAACACCAGCTGCTTCCGCCTCCTGCTAGTCTTGTGTGGTCTGTTTGCTTTTCTCTGCTTCCCATCCTCCTAACTCCTCTCTCCTTCCTCTGGTCCCAAATGAGCAATTCCCACTTTCCAAGGTCATTGTACCCCGTGGCTGTAATCCCAGCCAGGTTCCAATCAGCTTGTGTAAATTATGGATTTGGCAAAGAAGAGAGGCGAATTTGACTTTACATTTGCGTGTATTCCTTGTGGCAGGGTGGCTGGACTCAGAGGATGCTCAACCCATGCACACTGCCTGGCCTTCCTGCGGCAGATTCAGTTTTCCTCCCAATCTTTCTCCTTCCAAAAGGGGGCCAAGGAGACTGTCTCTCGGCCCTCTGAGCTGAGCTGAGCTGGCTGAAAACCGGAGAGGAAGGGCAGTGGTGACGGGGCGGGCTTGGTGTCGCTGCCCTGTGCCGTCCTCATTCTGTCTCGGCCAGTCACACTCCCTCTCGCCTGCCATGGCCTTTCCTCGTGGTCCTTGTCGTCATGCATTCACCATGCTCCCCCCCCCCGCCCCCACCGCCTTGTGCTTTTTAGTGGCCCTCATCGCCCACATCACTGTCACCTCTCCCTGCCTCTCTCTTCTCTCGGCCTCTACTGATTCCTCTCCTCGTTTCTCCTTCCTTCACCTTGCTTGTATTCCGGCCCCATCTCAAATCTCCAGACGTAGGAATTACTTTAAACCTTTAACACCCGTGGCCCTCGGTCTCCTCGTCCGTTTAGTAAGGGTGGGTCTGTTTAGAAAGCTGCCTTCACACGCCATGCCACTGATCTCTGAGTCGCTCAGTGAGGCAGAGCAGGCAGGCGCTCCTCCCTGCAGCGCATGAGTGGACAGTGAGTTCAGATGAGTCACCGACAGTCATGGTATAAATGTCAGCACCTGGACTTGAACTTGGGGTCTTGAACTTACCATCTTCACATTTGAGATGCGATGATTCTATAATTGTGTCTCCTTTCACTCCTACAAAAGACTTTGCATGATGGAGAATCAAGACCAGCCAGCAAGATCTTTTAGCCAATTCTGAAAGCTCCTACTCTTCCTCTGCTTTTCAGCTGAGGTCAAGGTCAACTCGAGTTTGTAGCCAATCATCTGCCCCCGCTCCACTTCCAACCCCACTCCATACTGCAGGGCTGAGCGGGGATCTACTTGTTTCTTTTTTGGGGGGGGGGAAGGCGTTTTGAGACAGGGTTTCTCTGTATTGTTTTGGAGGTTGTCCTGGAACTTTCTCTGTAGACCAGGCTGGCCTCAAACTCACAGAGATCCGCCTGCCTCTGCCTCCCGAGTGCTGGGATTAAAGGCGTGCGCCACCAACGCCTGGCTCTACCTGCTTCTTAATCCCTAGGTTCTTCTCCTAGGAGATGCAAGAGCAGTTTACCTATCTGCCCAGTTATGTTAGCCTGAGGCTAACACTGTAGACAAAAAGCCACATGGGTCTGGAGGGACCCTGACTGCCTCCCAAATAAACTAGGAAGCCCAGTTGTAGGGAAGGGAGGACAGCCTCCCCAGGTCCCCAGAGAAGCAGCAGGTAGCCTAGGGGTGACCTGAAAGTGAGGAAATCTCCGTGCTTGTCTGTGAAGCCGAGGCCAGGGAAAGGCACCAGGTGCAAAGGAGCAGTTACAGGCTGGCAGGGGTGCTGACGACATGAAGAGGCACTATTACAGTGGCACCACCAAGCCTGACTCCACACAGTGCAGGCAAACAGTCTGTGCCTACCATCCAGGGGAGCGAACCCTCAAGGGGGAGCTTGGGGAACTAGAGGAGCCCCAACTCAGCATTGCTGTGGCCAGGCAGGAAACAGCAGCTCTGTGCCAGGCTCTCCCTCTCCTCCCACCCCTGGCTGGGGACCTGGTCCTGGCGCCTCCCTACCTCCTCCTCACTGCTCTGGGAGCTGAATAAGCTTGTAATTGCAGCTACAGGCCCAGTGACATTCAGAACAATGGATGACCCAAGAGCCGGCCAGCCGCCTCCCAGCAACTCTCAGAATTGCAGCCTACTTCTCTCCGTGGGTGGTAATGGGACTAGATGAGGACGATTGGCTTCCATTAGAGTAATGGAAGGTGGGTTGCAGGAGAGGAAACTCAGCAGGAGGAAGAGAGACCCACAGCTGGGGAGCCGGGAGCCCCAACATCCTGAAGGCAGTCCTCCCTTGGTGCCTGCTCCTTCCCCATGGGCGCACCCTTATTCCAGGCAGTCCACCCCGCATACCCGCATCTGTGAGGCAGATGTGATGTCCAAGTGCACACAGGACTCTAGGTGTCTTGGCAAAAGGACCCTCCCTGACTAGTGAAACCTGGTAGCTGAGCCAGCTCCAACTCCAAGGCCTAACCTTCTCCCTAGATGCTGACATTGGGAATTTTTTCCTTCCTAGAGCTCAAGGGAAATCCTTTTAGCCATTTCGTTTGACCTTAAATAACATATATTTCCTTTTGGAAGCCTAATGAATTCAGAAGCAAAAAGAAAATTATCCAATCACACAGCATTAATCACTGAGAATATTTGAGTGGACAACCTTCTACTGTTTTGTTTCTCTATGCCTTCGGCTTTACATTTTTAAAAAAAAGGAGAAGAAAAAAGAATTTGTAGCCTGCATTCTCCCCTGGTATTATACTGTCCAGAGCCTCCAGTCCTAACCAGGCTCCCCAGGTCCCACCGTACATGACTTGGGTCAGACTCACATGCCTTACTTGGTAACCAGCTGACCAGTGATACCTACAGCTGGTCCTAGAGATCTATAGGATGCTGAACCAGCTTGATACCCTCCAGCAGCATCTTTCTGGAAAAACTGTCAGGGAGATCCTGCATTGGCCTGGGGAAACCCCTAATCCATCACCTCTATCCTTTACCCAGCTGGCCATAATGGGCCTGAAACAGATCAATGGACCAGCTTGTGTTTACTAGGCAATTACAGTTTTCACATGCCTGTTCCTTTAGTCACTGGGACCCTGTGAGAGGCTTCCTGAAACACATCCCACCCACTGATTTAGACCACCTAAAGGTAATCCAGGTCACATTGCTGGGGCATCTTCCCATAATATCCTTTAAGGTATCATGGGTAGCCCCCAGGTTTGCTAGGACCCTTGCCATGGGTCCTCAGTGTTCTCACACCAAGGAGGCAGCACATGGCAGAGGAGGACAAGAAAAATGCTTTTCTCTTTCAGGGGTCCTGTGGGTAGGGGACAGAACCCTTTGGGAGTCTCCAAGCCTATGAAAAACTGCCAGTGTCCTACCCTGGCATGGCACAGCTGACCCAGTAGGGACTGAAAGCTCCCACTATGGAATGTGGGACAGAGTGGCCCCTGCAGAGTGGGGCTCTAGTCCTGCTCCTCACTGGGGCTTCTGAGTACCCTAGAGACAGCATTCATCTGGACCTGCGAACCACGTGAAAGCATCAGAAGCACCAGGTCCTGGAGGTGAAGAAATCTGACCCAAGGACCTGTGTGGCCTCGCTCTTCTGGTCCCATCAAAAGCTATGAACTTCCAGAACAGAATGAACAGTGCCCTAGGAATCCCTGGCTATTCCCACAGTGCTCAACACAGCCTTCCAGTTTTCTGGTGAAGCTGTTTAAATTTTATTTACCAGAACCAATTTGTGCGGATCCTCAGGATGCTCTTTTCTGGTCCTGCGAGCACCACCCTCTCCTAAAAGGCCTGAAGATTTTCTAACCCACAACTTCTTGAGCTTTGTTTTATATCCCTCCCTAAAGGCCCTCAACTAGTTCATTTTTCATTTAACCTATCACTCACCCATAAAAAATAATGTATAATTTCCACAATGGCACCTAATGTCAGACCAAGAAAAAAAATAAATCAATTGGTGTGTTTTTTAATCAAACCATGAGTGGGGGAAAGGAAAATAAAAAGAAGAAATAATCTATAGCAAGACTGGTTTAGTTGCATCATGAAAGGCATCATTGCCTTTTTAGAGGCTTGAGATACCTTAAGATAGGAGGCTTCTGGAGATTTCTTTTGAGATAACTTAAAGGGACAAATAGTAGATGTGGTGGCACATGCCTATAATTCCAACCTAGCAGAGGCTGTGACAAAGGACATCAATAGTTCAAGGCCAACCTGGGCTACATAGGAAGATCATGCCAAATGAAAAATAAAAAAGACAATTGTTGATGAAGAGACCAAGAAGGCCAGTGTGTGTGTGGCTGCCCTTTGTAGGCAGAGGAGCCAAGGGAGTGAAGGGAATGCATCTACTGCTGGACCAGCACGGGACAGGAGGGGTCAGGGACTCTACTGGAAGTGCCTTGCCATGTACAATTGAGGTCCCCAGAAGCCCACTTTTGCCAGCACAGTCATAGAGGGGACATCCCTTTTCTGTGCCTCGGTTTCTCCAGCATGGCATGAGGGATGTACTGTCAAATTCCAGCCTTTGTCCTGGACTTGGACACTCTTTCACTCCAGATCCAAGGACACATGTGATTGGAAGATGGCTGAGGAGGTTGGCCCTCACCCTCATGTGAAGGGCCTGGAGACAGCTACAGCTACTTGCTTCTCAGTACTTACGTGAAAGAATCCTGTGTCCCCTCCGAGAAGACAGACCAAGAGGAAGAAGCTGGCACAGGTGAAGACCAGAAGTTGTTCAAAGACAGCAGCAGCCAGTGGTGGCTGTGAGCTCTGCTTCTTCTTGTTCATTTTGAATATGTTACGTTGGTTGAACCACAGGCACCAGAACTCACACAGACTAGTAAGCTTTGTGTAGCCACCATGTTCCAGTCCATGCCAAAGTTTGGAAAGCATAAGGAGCCAGTCAGGGCTCCTTGGGTCCCCAGGGGAACTGTCTTACCAAACATATTCGTAAGAGACTCACAGATCTTGTAGGTATGAGTTGGCTACTTCATGATTTTTAAGATGATTAAGAAGTGTTTAGATTCAATAGCAGGGGGTGAACCCAGTGCAAGACAGGC